ACGGCCGTTACGGAAAAGTGCGGCCTTTTACCCCCACCTACCCTTAAAGTCAAAACGGTGCTGCTTCAGTCTGTAATAAATACCCATCATAATACCTATCTGAAAATATCAATCATCGAGATACTAGGAAAGACAACAGCTGAATACTGGAGCCACGCAAATATAAACATTCACCATTGCCAAGATAGCGATGGAGAGTCTCTCCCTGTATCTGCGTGAAACAGAGCATAACATCATTACAGCATCGTCAAAGAGTGCACTCTTTGACGCGATCCCGTGCGAACTTTATCGATTAAATGTATACGTTAAGAGTCCAAACCTAAGGACCATGAAAACGCAAAGTAACGACAAAACCCTGTTTTGTCAAAAAAAAGGTAGTATATACCCGAAATGGTATTTCGTTTAGTGTTTAAACGGTTTATTTTAGTTACAGAACTAGTTCCAACATGCGGCCATCGGTAAAAAGCCGAAAATGGAGGTAGAAAACCATGAATGAAATTTGGAGTTGTATATTATAACTTCACAAACGTCCATGTTGATGGGGTAGCCTCTGCGTGGCGAGTGATGATGATTCAATGACAACATTCGATGTGCAGCAAGTACATGTTTAATATATTCACTAGTCGTTCTGGACGCGCTTCCACGTCCGTCGCGGCTGGCCGAAGGGTTGCGCCCCCAGGACTCCCGGTCAGGCGGTCACTTGCTACGCGTGTGACATTCGGCTCGCTCCGCGAACCATTTTTTTGAGTAGTTGGACATTTAATCACTGTGATGTTACATTTTGGAGACTCTCAAAAGAAAAATTATTTTGTCACAGAACCTTCTTACCGGAGCGTCCCATCATCTGCACAATAATACATATGTGGAGATGAAGCTATGATGAGGATCGATCATTTCTTCAAAAACGCATTTGACTGGGACGTCGTATTCCCATGCAGTGGAGGAAAGTGACACCCGTGGATCTCCTTCCACTATTTGACTCGCTGAAGTAGCAAAAGTTCATTTTTACTTCCTTAGAAGATTATCGGTGGCAAAGGAGTCTAAAATCTGCTCAACAATAGTATAGGTCGAGTTCCGAGTCGCCACGAGCCCGCCTGCGTTTTATTCTTATACTTTCATTGTATATAAATTTCACTGATGTTTTGGTTTTATTCTCTCTGATAACAGAAGTAATTAGGTACCTATATTCTAACTTCATTTCCTTACCCTTTCATTTTTCCTTTTTTTGTACCATCTGTATCCATCTATAATTATTATTTTAAAATAGCTTTCCCCCAGTGTAAATTTGATGCTTCAAACAGAACCAATTTGTTGTGATGATATTTCCGGCTAAATCATGGGTTTTCCTAGGAAGGCAGCCTCTCATCCTTTCCAGACTCTATTGTTGCCAGACAAGTTGCTATTTCAGCACTCTTCCAAGTTCAAACCCATGTGAAATATTCGCATTTATCGCACAATCTGGCAACCCCACGAGTGAAATAGAAAAAGGTCGATTCGACTAAAGGTGGATCTCTCCACTCTCAGATTAAGGATGATGATGATGATGGCACCCGATGAAATCCCCCTCTTAAAAGCGTTTCATGAAAAACGGCATGTAAATGGACAAATTACATAAAATTTGGCATGGAAATCTGGGTGAAATGCAGGGAAGGCATGCATTCCACCAGATTCCACAAGACTGGCATGGAAATCGTGACTACTACAATCCAACTTGCACACAAATGCAGTAATTACTACCTATGCAACGTGAAAACCTTACAGCATAGAAATGAATGGTTCACATGCATAAAGTCGGATGGAAATGATTTAGTTCCAACGCCGATCGCATAGAAACATAGCTGGTTCCTCTCATGTGCACGAAAATATTGGGTCGGTCGGCGGTGCGCATCGTGCTCCTAGATTTCCCATCGAAAATATATATCGTGAAAAGTTTTCAAATGCTGGGCGGCAAAATTTCATGAAAAATAAAGTCGAGAAGTTACACCCTTTCGTAAGTAGGTATTCGACCATTGATTTGCCGACTAGATTGATGATGACTGTTGTAAGCCGCCCAAAAGCCCTTGACTGCCACCGCGAACACCGTCAACCCTCAGCCGCGGGTCGTAGGGGTGGATCCCGAGGGGGTGGGCTAGGATGCGGAAGGGGTAACATTTTCAATTATTGTTCCATGTTTTGCATGCTCTGGCATTTCTTTGTGCTCGCTCACGCCTCATTAGACTGTTCTTTTGAGCGTTAATCTTCAATTAATTTAACTTATTTCGAACGATTTCACGCATTTAATCCAGGGGCACGCCAGGATCCGCCTTAAAAAAGAATTTATGCTGGATCACATAGACTGCCCCTTATTAAGACTTTGACTGCCCTGGATAGGCAAAGAGCTGGTTACACCCCAGCACAAAGTCGGTTTTGATGAGTTACCCAATGCAATTCAGCGCCACTCTTCCCTCTCATCTTTGCACAAAGCAAAGGTTCGCTTTAATGAGCCAAAGGTTTGGTTCTTTCTATCTAATTTGTACATTATGTAACATGGATATTATGCACGTCGCTATTCTGCCTTTAATATTTGATGTAGAACAGAAGGCCTCCGTGCTGCGAACACTATTCTAGGATCACGGAGAAATAAGTGTTAAGGACTCTTCCCTAAAATTGTGGTGCTACCCTAATCTGTCGGATGATAAGGGCATTTCCGATTCCTTCCGCAACTCAAGTTGGGGTAGCAACGCAATGTTTGGGTTGGTAACCTAGTTTCTTGGCGTACTACCACAATTAATTGGAGATGCTCATATCATTTACAGTAGGGTGACCCTTATTTTTGACTTTTTCAAAATTTAACGGATACAAATCTGCAAGTGGTGTCAGGTGCCTTTTGGTGTAAAATGAACGGGGAAAAAATGTTTTGAAAAAAAAAGAAGAAAAGTTTAGTGCTGTCACCGGCCTCCGGAAACTACGCCATTGGAGGGAAATCGACCCGTTTGCGCACCTCTTCGCGCCCAAGTTTACGCATGCGGTGTGTCACGTACACTTTTTAAATTTAACATTTCGGACACGACTTGTGTGTTTTTCACGATCTTCTGTGAGATTTTCCTTTCTAGAAATTAAAATTATCCACGGAGATCGCCGAAAATTCGTAAAAAAAAATCACGTTTTTGGCTAACTTTCGGCTATCACCGTGGATAATTTTAATATCTAGAAAGGAAAGTTTCAAAGAAAATCGTAAAAAACGAACGAATACTTTATTTCATCCTGTGAATCGCGTTTATGCAAGCAGTCTGCGCTGCATCTACCAGTCGGAGGACCCTGACTCATCATGATTAAGGCTAAAAATCTCCATAATTTGTTGATCAAATAGGAGCGGAATAATTGAATTGCAAAAGCAATTCGACTGATTCTGAAGAAGAAATTTTTTGATTCTGCCGTACGGGTTGCCGAGATATGAAACTTTTTCTGCACCTATCTCCTCTCGCCGCGAGTCCTATTTTTATACTACTGATGCACTGCGAAGATGCCAATGTCAAGCCGCAAAATTGTGACAATCGTTCAACGGATGCCAAAGGGGCATTACAAGTTGACTATATACCACATGGTGAGATCATAAAAGTAAAAAAGTACCACAAAATCTTACAAAAGCTCAGACCTTGGATCATTAAGAAACGGCCTAAGCCTCTGAGCCGCGAAGTTCTGCTCCCACATGACCAATCAGCAAGAGTCCCTCAAGGCATGTTGAAAACTTTCAATTTGTAATTTTATCCACATCTACCTTAATCTTAGCTTTAGGTGATTTTTACCTTTCCCATCGACTCAAATCGGATCTTGGAGGACACCGCGTTGGTAGCGACGAACAGGGGATGAAAAACGTAAACAGTCGATTCCGCAATATCAGACAATAGAATTCCTTGCTAATGGAATTGAGTAACTAGTACTACGCTATAACAAGTGCGTGGGAAAGGAAGGACATAATAAAGAAATGTGAAGTTGAGCGCTGTTATTTTAAATTATCTTCTGCTTATTGCATCACGGATGCCTCAAAATGAAATGCACGAATGCGCAGAACACGCCTAGAAATCGGACCCGTGGCGAGGGAAGATGAGTGTAGAAAAAGTTGAATATCTCAGCGACACGTCGGTAACTCTTCAAAGTTTAGCTACGGTAAATAAAAAAAGGCTCCTACAAGGGCTTTTCATACATAAATGCCGCGCTTGTTGCATCACTCATTAGTGCATGAGACTATTCTCAAAAAAATACTAAACTTTAGCTAGCCGATTGAGTATTTTATTCATACGCACTGTTTTGTGAGCATACGTGAATCGATAAGTATTGGACTTTGGGCGATAACATATTTCATACTGTTTTGGAGCACATAAAAGGCTCAGATCAACACATACTTACTTTTTTTTAGTTTCGAAAAAAAGATGCAAATAGGTAGGTAAAGAAAGGGGACCGCTCCTGCAAGGGCTTAAAAAACACAGTGGTCATGACTGGTGTATCACTCATTAATGAAGGGGCCTATAAGCAATTTACAGTGAGGTACCTATGATTTTTCATTTCCTTTTAGAAGTAACAAGAAAATTAGGTTCACTAAATTTAAGAATTCAGCCGGATTCTGTATTCCTCTAAATCTGGACATTTTTAGAGGTTTTTGCAGTTTTTAGATCAACAAAGAGCTTAAAATTTAAAGTGAGGCGAAAAAGTGAGCTTTCGTGTGCGTTAGGAGTATGTGATGTGTTGTTTTTCAGGGGTTTTTTTTTTTTCAACGCGCATGAAGGAACGAGCCGCAGTAAATCCTTCAATTTTTTCGATGATCTCATTCAATACTCTTTCATTTCTAAAATACTTGAAAATAAAAGATACCTACCTACCTAAAACATTCCTGAATTTCAAAACATGCATGAAAGTTGTGACAAAAATCTTGGTGTAAAGAAAATATGATTAAAAGTTGATGCTAGGCAAACATTTCTGAGACGAATCCAAAAATAGATTCTTAAATGTTAAAGCCGGCTTACCTTGGTTAGGTTCTTATTCCACTTAAATGAGGTAAACTTATCACAAACACCGTTGGCTATGGAACAAATAACTAACGATGGGATAATCCAACAGGCCGGAAAACTATGAATACTACAATGCACATCACAACACACGCGGAAAAACTCGAATCGGGGATAATCTACGTCGAAACTCGGCTGAAATTCGCTCCAGCAAAGGAAATATCGTGGGTGCGTATCGGGAGGGGCTGACAACACTTCACAGCGCAAGGCATCCAGCGTGACTGAGGCGCCGAGCGAAGGTGAGCTAGGCAGCTGTCTTACCACTTACCTGCTATCACCGCATGGGTAAAAAACCGCGCACCCGTACCGTGTCTTCATAGCAGTTACGTTGTTCTTGTAGTGTACCTCTCCAGCATTCAAGTCCCCTACTCCCCTTTTGAAAAGAACAATCCGTAATTTCTCGGCCCCGTTCCATGCGCCGACTCGGGAGGACAAAAATCTGTCGGTTCACCGAACTCCTCCCCTCCTTCTCCTCCTCCTCCTCCGAATCCATTTTTATTCGGCTGTTTATGAGCTCGTTGGGCCTAGTCCTTTCTATTCGAGACATTTCCCCCCTCCTCCCGTGGAGATGGAAACCCACTTTTTTCCGTCTTATCATTTTCCATTATGCTCGGATTTTGGAGTGCTTCGCCAAGACATAATATACTTAATTATTCCCGGTGACTGTGATTTAAAGTAACACATGGTATTTAGTTTTAGTTTTGTGATATATAATCGTCCACGGGAAAATGGGCCTTAGAATACCCTTAAAGAGGAAGTATAGACACTTGGTCCTATTATTATAACCCGCAGAGTTCAAAAAATGTAGACGATTCAGGAAGGGACCAGGAGGTGGTTGTTGCCAAATAACCTACACTTCCAGCAGCCTGATAGTTCAAACTTTAAGTGGCTATGTCGGTAAGATAAGACAAGACATAGCCCTATCTGCGCTGTTTAATACCTACATCGATTTTCGATTCTGGTCGTGCTGCCGTAGATTTCAACAATCGGGTTGCAGGTAGAACCGTAGCACAATAATATTCATAGATTAATCTATTTGTTGACTTAAACTTTCAAAAATCTTGCGTGGGAACCACGTGCAATTAATAATGTCTTATTTAGCAGATAGATCTTTTAGGGTTCGATTTGAAGACTCTAACTCTGAATTTAGGAAAATAAGAGCAGGGGCACCTCAGGGTTCAGTACTCTCCCTCTGATCTTTAGTCTCTTTACCGCTGACGTACCTAAACCTAAAAAAGGAAAAATCGGGATCTTTGCTGACGACACGGCCGTTGCGTCCTCTGCGCCCACATATGAGGAGACAGTCACTAACATCCAAGAGTGCCTGGACGACATCCAGGATTGGACTGAGCGCGATCGCACGGCGCTTAACGCCACCAAATCAGTTAACGTGGTCTTTACCTTAAGACCATATGTTTATGTCCCTGTGATCCTAAATAAAATTGCTATTCCCCATGCACAAAAGGCTCCTTAATTACCTCGGCTTTACTATGGACTGTAAGTTAAAATGGAAGGAGCATGTTCTAAATAAGAAAAAGCAAATTGACTTAAAGCACAGACAGGTGCTATGGCTTCTCGGGAACCGATCTAAATTAAAGCTAAAAAATAAAGTTTTACTTTATAAATCAATGTTAAGGCCAATCTGGGTATACGGCTGCCAGATTTGGGCGTGTGCCGCCAATTCTAATCTCAAAATTACCGAGACAATTCAAAATAAAATACTCAGACAAATGGCAGGGGCCAGGTGGTACGAGCGTAACGTCGATTTTAGAGATGAGCTCGGGATCGAAGAAATGGACATGCACATCTCACGTATGTGCAATAGCTATGAATAGAGACTGGGCGGTCACCCCAATCCCGAAGCAATAGCGCCTCTGAATTGGGGCTCCGAGACCCGGAGGTTAAAAAGACGCAAACCACATGAGTTGAGCACGGCTCATTTCCGTCGGTGTTAGGCAGAGACAAGATACCCTCCACTAGTATCTTGGCCATGGTGGAAGCTTTTACTTTCGGGACTTCAGCATTCTACTGTCGACTTACCTACATGGTTGATGTTAAACAACGTGTTGGCAGTTTCGTTTTGCAAACAAGCCGAAAATGGCCGACGTTTGGGAGAGTTGTTTGGCTCACGACGTCATCCGAAGCTCATCATCGACCATGTAGGTAAGTCAACAGCCGAAAATAGGGTGATGACTGTTGCTCCCTGATAATTGTCCATAAGGAATTGTTGAAACCCCGAAAGTAAAAGCTTCCACCTGTCGCTAGGAGATCAGTGGAGGGTCTCTTGTCTCTGGTGTTAGGCTCGTGCCTCTGGCCCCTACCAGTCTTAGTCGACTGACAGGGCGAAAGCATAGTTAGTAGGAAAATTCTCTAGAATCTAGTTCTAGGAATAATTAAAGTTAATATTAGTTAGTTTTCCTCCCGCTGTTTTGCTCATATTTGAACTCCTTCCCCTCGATTCGCTTTCAAGGATTCCTCTTACACTGGAATGATATTCCTCTTAAGATTAATCGAGAACAGGATTTTTCAATCCGCACCTTGGATCTTTTATCAAGCTGAGCATCAGCCCCGCGACCGCGCGTTCATGATACGCTGATGGTTCTTGGTAATATGCTGGTATTCGCTCTCCTCCAATCGTGGACAAAAGATTTCGATTCGCACATTCGCACCGGTGAACACCACCTTTTAGTAATATTAGATTAATTATTTAATTTATTTAATTATTTAATTATTATTTCATTCATTTTATTTGAACCTATTAATTCATATATAGGGGAAGATATTTTTCATACTTTATTTCCTCTTGCGCACTCACAAATGTTTACTTTTAAATTATTGCAATATCCGATTCTCTTAAGTACACACTTAAGAAATAAAAAATATATTTTATTGCAATTCGTAAAGCATATTAAGCTTAAGTATGTATGATTTTGGACACTTTTGATGAAACTCGAATTTACGGTTTAGATTGTTTTATCCTCCCTGGTAAAAATGGCAAGTGCTCAGATCAGTAGCACTTGCCTTTGGAACAGACCTAAGCACTGATGTCAGTGCTGCCGGGCGCTGATCTGCTACCTCAGTGTTAGGTCTGTTCCAAAGGCAAGTACCTCTGATGTAAGTGGCACTGACCTAAGTGTCTCAGACGCAAGCGGAGGGAAACTCCCAGAAATACTGTACAGGCAAAAATTTCGTTAATTACCGATCTGCCAGGTACGTTATGTCACTATTTGACGATCAGGGAGGGCTGCTGTGAGTTTTCAATCCCAAGCAAGTATCACAATCTTCAGGGGACATCGCTCGTTCCCATGCGGTCTCCAATCTAAGTACTAACTACGCCCGACGTAACTTAACTTCGGTGATCGTCCTAGCGATTGAACCACTACACT